CTTTCATGAAAGAGGGGGAAGAAAATAATAAAAGTTCAAAGAGCAAGTCAAGTTTGAAATGTGATCTTGATACATACACATTGACCAATTTGGGATGCAGGACATAGCTGGACAATGGACAGGTCTTCATCTGTTGACTGCCTTTGGTCCTAATGTGTCGTCCATCATCCGAGCTCCTGAAAATATACAACTGAGAGAAGATTAGTAATAATTCAAAACAATGCAAAAAATCTCAGAAATTCACATAAACATAATCATTACAACAAAATTAGTTCAAAAATAAGTTAGCAAACAAAGACAGTTAGATTAAGAAAAGGGGAAGGATGGGGGGGGGGGGGGAAGGGGGATGGTTAGTTATGTTAGAGTAGGGAGGGAATAAGAGATAGAAAAGAGACAGAAAAGAATAAATCAGAATGCTTCTCTATCAGGCTCCCTTGCTTCCAAAGATGTTCCTCAAGCTGCTCCCTGTGAAGGGCTCCACTGCACTGCGTCCTGCCAATTGAAAATCAAGAGGTCAAGGTCAACATCAATTGGCTAGGAAAACCTCAGGAAAGGGTGCAAGAAGTAGAGTCTGAATCTTACTGTGCAATTTGCTGATGGCTGCAGTTGAATGGCAGATGGATCCCTTCTCACTAAGGGATCCTGGGCAGCCTAAATCCTCTTCTCCTAAAAAGCAAAACCAAGACATCAAAGTAGGAACACCACAGACTTCATATCAAGTGAGAAAGAGTAATCAATATCATGAAAGTGAAAAGCAAGTCTAGTTTGAAATGTGCAACAAAAGAAGCTTGATACATACCACATTGACCAATGTGGTATGCAGGACATAGCTGGGCAATGGACTCTTTTTCCTCTCTTGGTTGACCTTGGTCCTCCTGTGTCATTCTTCATCTGAGCTCCTGAAAATATACAACTCGCATATAATTCATAATTGAAAACAATACAATACCCCATACTTTCCTTGAAAGCAGGGGATAAAAATATGAATGATATAAACACAGTTGTGCAAATTTTGGAAGGTTCAAGTGTTTTTTAGATCATTTTAACAAAGCATGGTCTCTCGGTTTACTTGTTTTGACTGCATCATTTTCATTTAACCTACAGGTGTTTTGTCTATGAACCTCTCCCTGACTCGATGCTCATAATAAAGTGCTTCAGTTTCCACTGATGCCATATTTGAAAAAAATGCTTAAAATGCATACTGTATGTTAGCTCTGCTTGTTATTACCTACATAAATTTATGCAAGTTAATGCCTAGCTATAAAATTTTCTATTTCCTATACAAAAACAGAAGTTTATGCCCTTGAAGACCAATGTCACCATACCCATGGCCAATATTTTTTGACCCTGACAAATTGTCCTTGAATCAATACAATAGGCTCAGGGTGACTGTGAATATTGGTAAAGGGTTGGTATATTACACAGTTTAAATGCTACATGTCAAAGAGAAAAGAATATTTTAAAGGACCTAATACATGTACTTTCAATAAATGACTATCTTATTTAGTAGGGATGGGATGATCCACTGGTGTACCAATGCACTGTGATTTTTACTTTCACAATCTATGGATCAATACACTTAACCTTATCATGATGATACCTGACCTTAAGTTTTCTAATTTCCCAAAAATGTCCTAGTGTCATAATTTAATATTTAATCCTCTGCACTAGATATGAAAGTACACATGTATCAAAAATGATGGCAGACCAAAGTAAATAAGTGACCTTGTAATGTTTGAGTTGAATTAATGAAATTGTGTTTTAAAAAAAGATAACACATGGTAATTTGAAACTTTTGAGACACTTGATTGAAGCATAATGGATACACAACATGTATTAACATGCAGACCATCATCATCTGGTGTCACCCACCCATTTCATTTTCACCTTGTAGCATGACTTGTGTTTATCAGTTTATACTGACTGTGAGTTCGAAAAAGTTAAGGTTGATGAGTTGCAGTCATGAACATTAAGTGCACAATTATGCCTTACAGAATTAAAGTTTTCAAAATATTTCATTGACTGTCCAAGGGATACAGCAATGAAAGCAAATGTTGGAATGTTTATAGCTAAATACTGTGAATTTTCTGTGAGTTCATTATAGACTTAAGTTGGACCCAATATATTCTTTGCCTACTAGAAAACTTTTTAGATAAAGTTATTCAATAGTTCATTCAAAAGTAAACTAAAGTGGTATTTCACTGATTTATTTTGAATATTGAATAAATTTGAAACCAGATTTTCTAGTGTTTATTGACTTCCAAAGTATCGTGATATGTTTCGTATCTTGTCTTAGGTATCTTGATTCTGATCAAATTGGCTACGGTCAGTATCATCCCAGCCCTATTAATTAGTCCAACCTAGAGCCAAAACTACTGGGGGCTATGAATTTCACAATTTTGGTAGAGGGCTAAGTGCTATTATAGTCATGCCATAATCATCATCATCTTCTTTAGTTAGTTTCTTTTCTTTTCTCTTAATATCGACATGTTGTTACTATCAATTTTGAATTTCTTCTTGTGTATATAATTCTTTACTTGTATGCCCTGAGGGGCCCCAAATTGGAATCAATAAATCTTATCTTATAGTCATGCCAACATTTCCACTATTTTATTTCCAACAGTAAAATATATTGCATTTTCAATACATGGTAAAATTGGGTTCATCCTGGACATTGTGCCATAACCCCCGAGTCGTTAATTTCACAATTTTTATAGAGGGTTCATTGCTATCATAACCATGCCAACATTTTTGCTCTTTGTTGTCAAGCGGTAAGGACTTTTTTTATATAACACATTTTCAATATATAATATTATTATGCATTTTCGATTTTTTATTTTAATGTATTTAGACTGACGTTGGATTCACACAATACACAAATCACACCATCCTGAAACCGAGCGCTTATGATTTTCACTACATTATCCATTTTGTAATGTACTACAGATTCACAGTTCAAAAATACTATGTCGAAACACCTTTTCAATACATTATCTTACTGTTATAAAATACTTCAACAAGTGTTGTCTGTATGTCTGATCATGCTGACGTACGCCATGTGTAGAATTTGCTGTTCGCGCCACTTGTCACTATTTTAAACGCAGTTACATGTATTTCGACCCCGATGCAAATTTTACCTCGGAATTTGTTTGTTTGTTTGTTGTTTAACGTCCCTCTCGAGAATTTTTCACTCATATGGAGACGCCACCACTTGCCGGTGGAGAGCCGCAAATCTTGTCCTATGCTCGGCACTTACGGCCATTGAGCAGTGAGGGGTCTTTTTCGTGCCAACACCTACTGCCACACGGGACCTCGGTTTATACGGTCTCATCCGAAGGACCGGTCTCCACGTCCCACAGTGGGATTCGAACCCGCGACGTAAGGATCAACTCCTTACCTCGCGACTCTAGAGCAGACGCTCTAACCACTGCGCCACGCGGGCGACACATAAAAAATGTCAATCCCCTTCCCGTTCAATTATAGTCAAATTCAGCAATCTAGAATCTATTCCATCTCTAAACAGGATTTTTAAAATCTATCTAGCTATGTAGATTTTTTTTTCAGTTCGGAAAGTGAGGCCATTCTAATTTCTTTCCGAGGCAATAACAGTTGAGGAGGAAAGCCAGTGGTGTGTTCGAATTACAGCTTCAGAGGTGGATCCAAGAGGGTGCATAACTGAATGGATATGTTATGAAATGTGGATATAACACCAACGAATGCAAAGATAACGTCGACCCCGCTTATGCTGAAGAATGGACAAGTTTCGGACAGCTGAGTGTTATGCTACTATCATTGTTTAAGGGAAAATGACAATGTACGAGATATGGGGAATGAAGTGCAAAAAAATCCCATAGGTTCAGCAGTTTAATAAACATGTTTTAAACTGTTTGAATCCGTTTACACTGGGTGCAACAACTTTTGGCAGGCAAGTTTACGACCCTCTATACACTAACGGAATTTTTTTTCTGAACATTGAGAAAATTATACTGTGTTAAGGTGTATATACTGGGCTTATCTATTACATTTTCAAGATAGGGTAGCTAGCTTGCATTTACCTCCAGTATAAATGTGCAAAGAAAATGAAATAATGATGAACAGAAATCACAGTGGGCAAGATACATGCAAATGAAATGTTCAGTCTATTTATCTTGGCTTATGAAAGTCTAATGAATGCTTGATTTGATCACAAATTAAGTAATAAACTGTACATTTCAATTTATTTTATTTTAGATCAAGGGGCAGATTACTCTATCTGCATAAAAATTCTAAAAAAAAAACTTTTTTGTGTGTAGTGTATAGAGGGCTCTTAAATTTTTATATAACCTGTAAGATTGATATTATATTATTGTCCAAATTTATCCGGATCAATTTATTTATCCAATTTTGTCAGAATATGAATTTTCAATCTTGACGTGTGAACCCGCCATATTTGCACGATTTTTCGATGTTTACCCAAAGCTGTAGTGAGTTTGAGCTGTTTTACCTTAGATTTTTGGATGAGTTGGAAAATAATCACGGTAATTACCTTTTTTATGGTTGTATAAATGCAGTGTTAACTTCATATCTTTTTGTATACTGTATTTTTTGGAGTAAACAAGGTTAATCTTCAGTTTGAGTATATGATGTAAATTAGCGTTATCACACGTTAGATGTCAACGTCATTTATACATTTCTATTCACTTAAATTATTCAACACCAATATGCATTACTAGTTTATTACATAAAGTATTCATATTTATTGTATTCAGTATTATCAGTCAGTCGTATGGTGCATCATTTCGGTCACATTTATATAATGTACAGCATTGTAAGTTCTGTTTATTTTTTTTTGTTGTAGTCAATCTTTTCCCTTTCCTTTACCATTTCCTTTACCTATGTTGATGGAATTAAATGATGGGAAACGAATGTGACAGTTATTTATGAGAAACATGAAAGGAAAACAGTGTCATAGCACTACATCATTGACGTGATTATTCTACTATTGGAACCGGACGGCAGCCATGACAGAAGATGGTAAACTACCAAGGGCTGAGGCCGGAGAATCACGACCAAGTAGGGAAAACAAAAAACTTACAGTAAAGGCCAGGTCATACAAATTACAAGAATATTATGACAGTTTTAGAAAATTAAAATCGTCAGTAACACAAATAAAGAATTTGATGTTAGAGAATAGAGACACTGAACTTATAAGAAAGAGGTATAGTTCCTGGTTGGATAATTATGAACACTTTTTAAACTTATTTGATGTTCTTAAAACCCAGACAGAGGATGAACAAGAGAAAAGCAAATTGCTGTTAGATCATCAAGATTATGACATATTCTTGATAAATTTTAAGAAAGAAGTAGAAGCATTCTTTTCGTATCAAGATACTGTGAAAAATGAAAAAATGAATGTGAATAGTGTAAACAAAGCACAAAGTAGAAACTCTAGAACAACGAAATCTTCTTGTGTTTCCCTTGAAAAACTTAAGGAAGAACAAAAGCTAGCAGAACTTGAAGCACGCAAAGCGTCGTTAAAGAAACGAAAGGAATTGGAATTGGCCAAATTAGAACTTACACTTAAGGAAGAAGAATTTAACATAGAGACAGATATTGCAATTTCTAATGCAAAGACTGAAGTTTTACAAAAGTACGAGCTAGAAAGTGAAATTATTGACACTCACAGTGATAAATTTTGTGAGGAAGAAATTACACCTAGAAGAAATCCACCTATGCCATCCCCCAGAATCATAGGCAAGGATGCAGAACTTGGTTCCCAAATTTCTGTGTCAGAAAAACATCTCAATCCAAACGCCAGTGTTTTTGTGCCAAACATTTCAATGGAAACAAAACAACAAAATGCAATGCAGGATGTTGTGAACTACCTAAGAAGACCATTGCCAGAAATTAAAAAATTCAGTGGAGATCCATTAGAATTTCAGCGATTCATGAGACAGTTTCACGCAAAAGTAGTGATGAACACCAGTAATGATGATGAGCGTCTCAATTATTTGGAACAGATGACGCAAGGTGAAGCAAACCGTGTCGTATCTGGATACACACACATGTCTGGAGATAAAGGATACCAAGCAGCAATGAAGCAATTGGAAGAAAGATACGGAGACAGTGAACTGATAGTGACATCATTCATCAAGAAAGCTCTTGACTGGCCTATGATCAAAGATGCGAAAATGTTAGATGAATTTGCATTGTTCCTGGTAGAATGTCAAAACGCGTCAGAAAGCATAGACTGTGTGTCAGTTCTGGACTATGCTGAAAATATTAAAAGACTTTTGTCAAAACTTCCGATATATCTACACGATCGATGGAGAACTGCAGTTCTCAAAATTAAGGAGACTAAGAGAAGAATAGGATTTAGTGACTTTGTGACCTTTGTGAAGACTGAGGCAAAGAAATCTAATGATCCCATATATGGAGTTTCATCATTGAGTGGAAATTCACGTTCACAACCTGATAAGCACCAGAAAAGAACAGTTGCATCAGGAGGCCTAAGTAGTGAAAAGGAATCACCTGGAGCATTAGTATTGAAATGTGAATTTTGCGGTGGTGCTGGCCATGTCTTGATCGATTGTTACAGATTTCAAAGAATTAGTATTCAAGAGAGATATAACTTTATGAAAAATAAAGGACTTTGCTATGGATGCTTGAAAAAGGGACATGTAACCAAGAAATGTAGAAACAGACTTAAATGCATTTCATGTGGACGTCAACACCCTACCATTCTTCATGACCCATCAAGATCAACACCGAATTATCCAATCAATAGGGAAGAACACAACAACTCAGTTTCATCAAGTTCTAACGTTGATCAATCTGTCATCCACACAGGGAATTCTGATGTCGGTGCGTCTTGTGATACTGGGGCCGTAGAACAAACATCGGCCATGGCGATAATTCCTGTGAGAATTAAGTTGAAAAACAAGAACCATAGTGTCATTACATACGCATTCTTTGACTCGGGTAGCAGCGTTACTTTCTGTTCTGAAAACCTCATGCGACAACTAGGCGTTAGTGGAAAGAAATGTAACATCACTCTGAACACAATTGGAGAACCATATCAGTTGGTGTCCCAGTCTGTCAGAGGCCTACAACTCTGTGATATGAACATGACGGAATTCATAGATCTTCCAAAAATTTATACGAAAGACAGGATGCCTGTCACCCATGAACATATTCCTAAAAAGGAAGAAATTTCAAAGTGGCATCATTTATCGAACATAACGCTCCCAAATGTTGCTGCTGAAATTGGCCTTCTTATTGGCAGCAATGTCCCAGACGCTTATGCTCCATTTGAAGTGGTTACCGGACCAAGTGGATCTCCTCACGCCACAAGGACGCGCTTGGGATGGATTGTGTGGAATGTACTGAGAGAAGTCGGGTCAGGATCATATGATGTGAACAAAGTGACACTGGAGCGGTACTGTGAATGTGACACTAAGCTGGAAGAATTAGTGAAGGCGTCAATTAACTTAGACTTTCCAGAGCACATGATAGCAGAAAAGAAAGAGCATTCAGTGGAGGACAAAACTTTTCTGAGCCAAGTTGAAAAGTCCATCAAACAAGTGAATGGTCATTACTCAATAGGACTTCCTTTTAGAAACAATTCTGTGAGCTTGCCAAATAATATGATTCAAGGACTACAGAGACTCGAATGTTTGAAGAAGAAGATGTTGAAAAATCCACAATTTAGAACTGATTACACTGTTTTCATGAATAAACTGTTCGAGAAAGACTTTGTTGAGCCAGTTCCTGAGATGCAACTACAAAGGGATGATGGACGCGTATGGTATCTTCCTCACCATGGTATATATCATACAAAGAAGCCAGGAAAAATAAGAGTAGTATTTGACTGTTCTGCTGTGTTTAGGGGTGTGTCTCTAAATAGTCAACTACTACAAGGACCTGACTTAACTAACAGTCTCTTAGGAGTGCTTCTAAGATTTCGACAGGAACGTATTGCGATACAAGGTGACATTGAGTCTATGTTCCATCAAGTTGCAGTACCAGAAGAGGATAGAGACTGCATGAGATTTTTTTGGTGGAAAGATGGAAATCTGAGTGCTGAACCTAAACAGTATAGGATGAAAGTACATATTTTTGGGGCTGTCTCATCACCTACTTGTTGCAGTTATGCTTTGAAGAAAACTGCTGAGGAACACGGTAACGACTATGATCAAAGCATACAGAATACCATAATGAAAAATATGTACGTGGACGACTGCTTAGCATCAGTTGATACAGAGGAGAAAGCCAAATACCTCATAAAGGATCTGATGGCCCTTTGTAAACAAGGAGGATTTCGGTTAACAAAGTGACTAAGTAACTGTAAGGAGGTATTGAAATCGGTCCCAGAAGAAGATAGAGCAGAAGACATCAAAAAATTTAGTCTGAATGAAGAAACTCTGATTGAACGAGCCCTTGGAGTTTATTGGTTCGTGGAAGATGATTCCTTAGGGTTTCAAATACAGTTAAAGGACCATCCTACAACAAGAAGAGGCATACTTTCTGTGACAAGTTCCATTTATGACCCACTCGGCATTGTAGCGCCATTTGTTTTGACAGCTAAATCCATACTCCAACAGTTGTGTAAAGATGGTGTAAGATGGGATGATGAAATTGATGGAACCATGTTAAAGAAATGGAACAGCTGGCTCATGCAAGTGAAACATCTGGAAGATGTAAAAATTGAAAGATGTTACAAGCCAGGGAATATTGGACATTCTGTGTTATACCAGTTACATTGTTTTGCGGACGCAAGCACACTTGGCATGGGAGTTGTCATATATTTGCGCATGTCTGATTATCATGGAAATGTACATTGTTCCTTCGTCATGGGCAAATCAAGAGTGGCACCATTGAAAACAATGACAATTCCTAGGATGGAACTCACCGCTGCAACATTAGCCGTCAAGTTAAGTAAACTGGTGGACGAGCAATTAGACTTTCCTATAGAGAAAATACATTTCTGGACAGACAGTACAACAGTACTTCGCTACATCGCTAACACCAAGACTAGATTCCAAACCTTTGTTACCAATCGACTTGCCATCATCAACGCCCATACAACTTTTGATCAATGGCATTATGTGAACACAAAAGAATATCCTGCTGACTGTGCATCTAGAGGAATATCTGTGATTGATAAATTCATAGATCATCAGTTGTGGTTTCATGGACCTGAATTCCTCCTGAAATCAGAATCTACTTGGCTTTTGAACTGTGACATTGATACTACTATTGGAGTTAACGATGTGGAAGTGAAAAAATGCATCAACACTACCCTTATACAGTCTTCCTTCAATGGTGTTGAAAAAATTCTTCAGCATTTCTCAGATTGGAAAAGACTTAAAGTCACGGTTGGATGGTTCTTGAAAGCCAAGGATAACCTGAGAAAAATAGTCAAGCAGAAAATAGAAAGAAGAGAAAAAATGATAGACTCTGGAGCTTCAAAGGAGAGAATCATGCAGATTGAAAGAGTGGAAAGTGAAACAAGAGTAAAGGAGTCCAAGAAGGCAAAAGCGATTCCTTTTCTCAGTACTGAAATCCTCGACAGAGCTGAAAGAGAACTTGTGGCATATGAGCAAAGGCAGTATTATGCAAATGAATTGAAAATTCTTGGAGACAAACATGGATATGTCAAAAAATCGTCACAGCTTTCTAGATTAGATCCTATTTTACATGAAGGAGTCATCAAAGTGGGGGGCAGACTAGAAAAGCTAAATGCATCTTTTACCACTAAGCATCAGATGATCATTCCAAAAAATTCCACACTGACTAGGATGATTGCTATAGATGCCCACAGATCTGCAGGACACATGGGCAAGAATGCTACTTTAGCAGTCATTCGAGAGAAGTTTTGGATACCCGGTATTTCTTCTGTATTAAAATCGCTTATCTCAAAATGTGTTATATGCAGACGATACCAGTCTCCTCCAATGCACCAAAAAATGGCCAATCTACCTTCTGAAAGATTGGAAATAGATGATCCCCCATTCACCCGTGTAGGTATGGACTACTTTGGACCATTTGAATTGAAGAGAGGAAGGAGTATGGTGAAACGATATGGTGTAATATTTACCTGTCTTAATACACGAGCAGTCCATCTTGAAGTGTCATTCTCTTTGGATACAGATTCATGTATTGATGCTATTCGCAGATTCATCGCAAGGAGAGGAAAACCTAAATTTATCCGATCAGACAATGGTACAAATTTAGTGGGTGCAGAAAAGGAATTAAGAGAAGCTATCAAGACATGGAACGTTAACCAAATTCATTCTCATTTGTTGCAGTCAGGGATAGATTGGATGTTTAACCCACCATCAGCATCACATTTCGGAGGTGTCTGGGAACGACTTATCAGATCCGTAAGAAAGGTGATATTTTCCGTTTTACATGAACAAACTATTTATCTGAACGATGAAGGACTCACAACTTTGTTCTGTGAAGTTGAAGCAATTCTCAATGGAAGACCTTTGACGCCCACATCAGATAACCCTAGTGATCTAAGCGCTTTGACACCAAACCATTTGCTACTTCTTAGATCTGGAGAAACTTGCCCACCTGGAACTTTTTCACAGATGGACAACTACGTTCGACGTAGATGGCGCCAGATCCAATATCTCGCAGACATCTTCTGGAGAAGATGGATTAAAGAGTATCTACCCCTTCTTCAGAGCAGGCAGATGTGGTTAAAGGAGGGACGCAATGTTAAAGAAGGTGATTTGGTTCTTATTGTTGAAAATGGCCCAAGGAATTATTGGAATCTTGGACGAGTTCTGGAGGTTCAAAAAGACAGACATAATATTGTGCGTGTTGTGAAAGTGAAAACTGTGTCCAATATTCTTACACGTCCAATAACGAAACTGTGTCTTGTGTTGGAGTCGGATGACAGAGACTAAATTGTTTCACATGTTTAAAGATGTTAATTGCTCATTGGAAAATTGTAAAATATGTTCTGTGTAGGACCATATTTTAGGGGCCGGTGTAAGATTGATATTATATTATTGTCCAAATTTATCCGGATCAATTTATTTATCCAATTTTGTCAGAATATGAATTTTCAATCTTGACGTGTGAACCCGCCATATTTGCACGATTTTTCGATGTTTACCCAAAGCTGTTGTGAGTTTGAGCTGTTTTACCTTAGATTTTTGGATGAGTTGGAAAATAATCACGGTAATTACCTTTTTTATGGTTGTATAAATGCAGTGTTAACTTCATATCTTTTTGTATACTGTATTTTTTGGAGTAAACAAGGTTAATCTTCAGTTTGAGTATATGATGTAAATTAGCGTTATCACACGTTAGATGTCAACGTCATTTATACATTTCTATTCACTTAAATTATTCAACACCAATATGCATTACTAGTTTATTACATAAAGTATTCATATTTATTGTATTCAGTATTATCAGTCAGTCGTATGGTGCATCATTTCGGTCACATTTATATAATGTACAGCATTGTAAGTTCTGTTTATTTTTTTTTGTTGTAGTCAATCTTTTCCCTTTCCTTTACCATTTCCTTTACCTATGTTGATGGAAATAAATGATGGGAAACGAATGTGACAGTTATTTATGAGAAACATGAAAGGAAAACAGTGTCATAGCACTACATAACCCAACTGTTTATAAGCAGATTTGGAACTTCATGTCCTATATAGTAAGGATATTGAAGGACTTCTTTTCAAAAATGTTGTTTATATAAACTTGGATATGCGGATTTAAAATACATCATGCTAACATTTTTATGTTTATTTTTCCATTGTAAATGCATATCCTGTCAATGAATATAAGCAAAAATTCAAAAACAAGTATTTCCCCCTTAAAATTACAGACTATTTTACGTAATTTAAAACTCTGGAAATGTAAAACTGCATTTTGCTGTAGATATTTAGGAGCTGTATCGGTTGACCATTGACCACTAAAAATAAGGTTTGAAAATGACGGGGATGTCAGAAAGTACACAGCTTTCTTCCAAGAAATTGAACTAATTCTCAATTATCCTTGTTAAAACGTTTACCTGAATGCTTGTTTAATATCTGGACGTTCCTGTACAGCATTTTCCACGAAAAATTGTACTTAAAGTCTGCAGCGTAAAGTTGTATGGTATTGTGTGTTACTGCTTTGTGAATTCAGTAGTGAATAATGTTCAAAGATCATGCTCATGTGATTTAAATACGTATTCATTAATCAACTCAGCAGATCAACAGAGCGAAAATGCAAAGTCACGAGTACACAAACAAATCTTTCAGTCGACATTATTGGGGTTTACATATATTATTTATAAATTAAAGTAAACTTAATTTATTTCAATGTTTAAATTTCGGAATTTAAGTTTTTATGTAAAAGATGGGGCTGGGTATCGGCTGGAAATTTCGTATTGCGATATTTTTAAGTGTATTGCGATATGTATTGCAATATTTTCAATGACAGTTAAAATGCTCTTTTTCTTATTTTATTAACCTCCACCAATAAATATGAATACATCTTATAAAAGAATTTTAAAAAGGAGGCGAATCTAGTGATATTAATAAGGCTAAGGACGATGAGAAGAGTCCAGAGAAATATATACTCTTAAAAACCAAACACCAAACACTAAACTTTCCAGGGGGGGGGGGGGGGTGCACGCTATTTAATGGCCAAAAGGGTTAAAAAGATAACTCTCAGTTTTCTACATCTGTACAGTGTAGGAAGGACTAGGAGGCTGTTTAAGAATGCCCAAAATATTATCAGAGTCCTGGATAACTATGTCCAATTAACTAATGTTTAAAATTTATGTGTTAGAAACGCTACGGAAAAAATCACAACTACTTTTTCCGAAGATAAAATGTCTTGTGACATCTTAAGCATTTTTTTTTTAAAATACTAATTAATTAATTAAATTACAAGATATTTTACTCTCTGTAGAAGTAGTTGTGTAATCGAAAAATCCTATATGAGAGTGGGGGTTACTTAGAGACAGGCACGTATGATCGTTCTTGAAAGGGAGGGCTGAAAAAAAGACAACTTATTCAAAGAAAAAAATCTTTCAGAATAAATAAATAAATAAATAAAATAAAATCAAGAAGCATTCCAACAACTTGTATTCTGTAGCATGGGGATGCTTGCTTATGAGTAATGCGGACTTCCTGTTCCTGAGAAGAAAATAAAATATAAGTATATATAAAAAAAATTTCCGTGTTAAACTTTGTTTTACGAGACAGAAATATATTCACCCACGATTTTTTTAAATCTTATTTTTCCTTTCATGGTGAAAGTAAATGTGAGCTTTTTTGACACTGTGGGGCCTTGACAGTCATCTGAGTTTAAAGGGTTTCTCTTTCCATGACCGACTGAGCTCCACTAGGAATTGGAAATCTGGACTCAAGTGAAATTAATTCCCACCCTTAGACTGAGTTCTGGGAGCAAACATTTCAAAGATTTATTGAAGGGCATGGGTTACTGCCACATTGCTGAGAATTTGTTCACAAAGTGTCCGTAAATAATTACACTGTATAGTAAATTTTCAATATATGACCATCTGAGCCCTACCTTAATTCTGGACTCCAGGACATTAAATTTCAAAATCTTGATAGAGGCCTAGTTTCTCATTATAATCTTGCAAATAGTTTGTTGCTAGATGTCCGTAAGTAAAAAAAATCAAAATCATATTGTACATGGTTTTGTCAATATATGACCATCTTAGCCCTACTTCTGAGTCTGTAACCTGGACCCAAGGGGTTACAATTTGGGTAGAGGGCTAGCTGTTCATTGCAGTTAATTTGCCTAAAATGATAAGGTTTTTTGAAGGGTTAAAGGAGAAGCCTCATCCTGGGGGCTATAGATCTTAAAATTTTGGTGTATGGTTAAGTACTCCTAGTAATAATTACAAAAGCTTGACTGCTTGATGCCCAGGAATAAACGAGTCTTTTAAAGATAAGACATTTTCAATGTATAAAAAAGTTACCCCCCCCCCCCCTGGGGTCGTGGATTTCACATTTTTCATAGCTGTATCTATTATAGTCATACCGAAAGTTCTTCCTTGATGTTGAGGACATAGAAGATTTTTGAGGATTTCACTAATCATGAATTATCTCCCATTGAAATTATGTTCATGTGAACAAACTTACATCCACTTCACCCAGGGATGCTTTGTGGCAAGTTTGGTTGAAATGTCCCAGTGAATCTGGATTGATTGATTGTATATTGCTTTACGTTCCGTTCGAGAATATTTCATTCATATAGAGACGTTACCATATACCGGTGAAGGGCTTCAAATTTTGACCTTTACTCGGCACTCAGGGTCATTGAGCAGTGAGGGATCTTTATCGTGCCAACGCCTGCCGTGGCACGGGGCCTCGGTTTTTAAGGTCTCATTCGAAGGACCCGCAACTTTCACTTCAAAGTGCCGAGCGCATGGCGAAGGAACAGTTGCTACCCATTTTTTATCGACTTAGGTCTGTCGCGGCCGAGATTCGAAGTCACGACCTCCCGATTACGGAGCGAGCGCTCTACCGACTGAGCTACCGTGAGCGGTCCAGTGGATTTGGAGAAGAAGTCGAAAATATGGAAAGTTTACAGACAACACACGACAGACAGACGAACACTGTACACTTTTCGATCAGAAAAGCTCACTTGTGCCTTTGGCCACGGTGAGCCTAAAATGACTAATCATGGCTTTGTTCTTGAGAGGAATACCAGTAATTTTAATTTTTAATTGATTTTTTTCCGTTATACTCCTATGTTTACATTTGATTGCCCATTGTGGCCCCACCCTACCCCGGGGGTCATAATTTGAAAAAAAAAATGAATCTACACTACCTGAGGAATGTTTTTCGCATAAATGTGACTAACAATGGCTTTGAAAGTTTTGAAAAAAAGATTTTTAAAGTTTTTTTTTCCATATACTTCTATGCAAAACTTTGATCGCCCATTGTGGCCCCAACCTATCCCCGGGAATCATGATCAAACTTGTATCTTTCCAGTAAATATGACAAACAATGGCTCAGCTGTTCTTGAGAAGAAGAATTGAAAGATGTTTCCTATGTTTTCTTATGAAAAACAATTTGATCGCTAATAGTGGCTCAACTTCATTACTCCCGGGATTCGTGAATTGAACAAAATTAACTCTGTACTACCTGAAGATGTTTCCATATGAATTGACTAATCATGGATATGTTGTTGAGAAGGCTTTTTAGAGATTTTTCTTAAATATTCCTAGGTAAAAAAAATTGATCTTCCATTATGGCCTCACCCTAGCCCCGGAGGCCATGCTTTGAACAAACTTGAATCTACACTACCTGAGGATGCTTCAGTATAAATATGACTAACCATGGGCTTTCTGTTCTTGAGAAGATTTTTCTTTAGATGTTCCCTATATATTCTTATGTCAAACTTTGATGACTAATTGTGGCCCCACCCTAGCCTCGGGGGTCATGATTGAATATGAATTTACACTATGCAACGAAGCTTTCACAAAATGAGTTTAACTTCGTTTGTACTAGATCTGCTGGATTTTTTCCCTATACTAGTATTATTTATTCATTCATTCTTTCAATTTTCAATTGATTTCATGTCAGTTTTTATTGTGCAGGTTTATAGTGTAGCCATGACAGCGAAAATAAAACTACACCAAATAAATGCACTGTACCTACAAGTCTTATCTACAGTATACACCTGTCTGGGGATTTTTCTTCATAAGGCTCTGTACTTGGTCTTCGTGATTTCAATTGATTTTCTAATCTGATTCACTTAATTCCCTCCACACTGTCTGCAGGAGTACATTATTTGACGATAATTGTCTTCTACCTAGAACTACCGGTATATGTTCTTGGAGAGGTTTTGGCTTTTTCCCTACGATAACTTCATCACTGACTGTAATGAGTTCTTTTTGGATTTTGTAGAGTTGAGAAGGAAA